TCCAGCAAGCGAGGAACTGGTGAACAAAAGGGAATGCTCCAGGCATCTCTCCTCTGAGAAACTCTATATCACACTCTCCTCGGCTCCAAGAATTTCCTCTTGCCGCTGTGCCAACTGACCACAAGTTAGTGGATGGAAACACTCACTTGGCACCTAGCCTTTCTGGAGATCAGACCTCTGAAATGCGCTGCTGCCGGCTCCAAGGCCCAGGTGCTGCGGGAGCTTTCGGGCCTGTCAGTGCGGCGCGTCCTCTCACCTCTTCTAGTTCCCAGAGGCCGGGCTTCTTGCCCTCGCCCCAGGGCAGCAGCCAGTCGCCCGACCCCGGCGCTCTCTCCTGCTCCCTCCCCCACGAGCAACAGCCCCGAGATCGCCCCGCCTCTGGATGGTCGGACCCCCCCCCAGCCGTCACTTGATCGCGGTCGCAGCATGTAGGGGCCACACGCAGTAGACGCCCACCTGTTCCTGCACATTTTGGGAGGGGCGGATACTCTGTCGCACATGCCCTTCTCGGGGTGTCAGTAAAACGCATCAACATAGTGTGGCCATGTTTTTAAACTCTCAGAGAAGGTTTATTCCACTTTGCGTAATAGCCAGTGTTTTTCAAACTTAATCCAGGAAATTTTTCTTCTTCTCAAGGCATTTTTCCGTATTAGTCGACCTTCTCGCCGCCGAAACGAAGCACCTGAGGGCTCCAAGTTCAAAGCCGCGGGGTTTAATTTGACTCACAGTTTGGGGGACGCAGTCCGTGGGTGGCGGGGCCAGAGGAAGAAAGCAGGATGGAAGGCTCGGGGGCAGGGGCGTGGTTCACCGCAAGGCCACCGCATGCAGAGAAGAGGAGGAGCCGGGGAGCGCCCCGTCGCCGTGACCCTCCTCTTCCAGCCAGGCCCCGCCTGCTGCAGCTCGGTCGGTCGGCCAGGAGCTCCTTCCCGCATTGGCCCACGGGGCACAGAGTCCTATGAGCCAATCACTTTCCAAAAGCCACCCCTCTGAGCACATGAAACTTCCGGGTACCATTGAAGCTCTGAGTCATAATAACTTCTAGTCAATGGCTCATCATTCCATGGAGTGCTGCTGCTCATATGGAGGAACAGGCTCCAGTCTTGGAAGCAGCCTCTGTGTCCCTCAACGCGAGTGAATGGCTAAAGAGAGCATAGTGCTTATACATAGCAGAGCACTACTCTGCCGAAAAGAAGGATAACTTCAGTCATTTGTGGTAAATGGGTGCACCTTGAGACCCTAGTGTTAAATGAACTAAATCAGACACATGCGCTTAAATACCGCATAGTTTTTCTCCTCTATGAGAAACTCCAAATCAAATCAAAAGCAAAATAAAAGCTAGATAATAGGAAGTACTGACAGAGATAGAACTTTCTCCAATGAGAAGAGGATGAAGAGATGGAAGAAGGGAGGGGAGGGAATGAAGACCAAGAAACCAACGATGTGCCGTGCGCGTGTGCCAGCTCCACACAAGACAGTATGTAGCACGAACATGCGCTGATAAATTAAATTAAAAACAAAACAAAACAAAACCAGTGGGATTCAAACTGGTGTGTGCGCCTCTGAAAATTCAGAGACTTTCTGCGGATACGCCGCGGAGGAGCATTGTGGGCCTCTGAGTCATAGACCCAACTCCCCCCTGGACTCCGTACCTTCTCTGCGTACAGACTTTACACGGAGGCCTGGGGGGACTCGGGAGGTCCAGGCACGGGGACCCCCTGCCAGGCCCTGCTCAGGGCTCAGCTGTCACTCTACCTGGTCGTCCTGCCGGGAAGACCCTTGCTGAGCAGCACTGTCCGGGGCGCGGAACCTCCTGGGTCAAAGGGCTCTTTGACGGAACCGGGGATTGAACTCAGACCCTTGCGCTTGCCAGGGAAGCGTCTGTTCCACTGAGCCACCTCCCGCCCCCGCAGAGCTTCTTTTAATCCGGGAACCAACCACACTCATTGTTCCCAGCCTCCCGCGGAGCGGCATTTCCAGTAACGCTTTACTCTGTGCTTTTGATAAGTCCTCACTGAAATTTTAGTATCTTACAATACACCGAAATAATTGACATGATAACACACTCCAGAAGAAAATGTTCTTGTCTTGGAATTTACATTTCTATTTATGTGCACCCTTCGGCTGGAGATAATTATGATGGGTCGAGCCCATATTTTCAAGTGTAAGAACATACATGAAACAAACTTCTGCGGGTGAAATAGAATGCGGATACCATTTCAAGGAGAAAAAATAACGTTGCCAATTTTTAAAATGACGCTACTCACGCCGCTTTTATATGCCCGGTAACAGGCGTCGTGTTCCAGTGACGCTCGAATTATATGGAGCACATTTAACAGAATCTCCCAGTAGGTCAATATGAAAACGTCACTTATTACAGCATCTAGAATAGAATTCTAAAACTATCGATTTTAAAACTATCAAATTTTAAAAGTACATCAGGAGGTACATAAATTTTCAGACATTGAGGGCTTGGGGAGGTACTGGGTATTGAACCCAGGGCTTTTACACAGAGCTACATCCCCAGCCCATTTTTATTTATTTTGAGACAGAGATTCTCAGTCACTAAGTTGCCCTGGCAAGGCCTGAACTCATGATCCTCCCTCCTCAGGCCTCCCAGAGTACTGGGATTGTGGGCGTGTGCCACCTCCTCAGGCTCAGAGCTCTTGGGGCTGTGTGAGCTAACAGCATGGTGACCCTGGACCAGAGCAGAACACAGGACATTCTGGTGGCCAAAAAGCAGGGTCTGCAACCAGGCGGCCTGGGGAAAGGCCCTTCCCACAGGGCCTAAAGGTTGATGACAAGGTGGCCCGTATAGAGCCAGGCTCCCTCCTTTCACCCAGCCCTGCCCTATGGCACCAGCGTGCTTGGCCCAGGTACATAGGGGTCTCAGCAGCCACGAGCCCCTGCTTCCATGGTAACAGTAGGCACACATTTGGCAAGCCATGCTCTGTACCTGATGGCCTGCTGCACTTCTAGAGACCTTTAAAAAGACCTGCTAGGGTTGTTTATAAAGCTGTGACTGCACAGCAGTGTCTCACTTTCTGATACTCTGTGACAGATCCCCATGGACCCTTGTCCCTCTGGAATAAGCTCACAAGGCAGAACACATGTTCCTGCAACTGGGCCATCACTCAAGTCCGGAAGCTCCTGTGGAAATGATTCCAGAGCTCACAGAACAATCTTTTGAACATCCCTAGTGTCTGTACATATTTGCCTCTGGGAGACCTTTGTTTTTTGAGCAAAAGTTATTGACACAAAGGCCTGGTGACATGGTAGATGGTGACACTGGGCAACAAGAGCATTTGTCTTAAAACTCCGGAAGTGCATGGACCAAGAAGTTGGAGCTCTCTAGAGTAGGAAAGAATCAGGAGCCCCGTTCATTCCGTGTTCTCCGTGGTGTTTATTCTCCCAGAAGCTGCCAGGGAGGCCCCCAAGTCTACAGGAATATTAGCTTCCCTTAGTGTAAGTTCAGTGTGCGCTGGATTGTCTGCTCTGGTATTCCTCAGCAGTCTTCAGCAGACGCCCACCCATCCATTCCTGCCCACCCCCCAGCTAAGCTGGATGCTGCAGGTGGCCCTGCATTGTCCTCAGGCCACTTGACGAACCTTGAGAGGATCAGGATAAAAGCACACTTGAGTGATGAGTAACAGTGGCCAGTGGGGTTCACTGTAAATGTCAGCTTCGGCCTCTTGCTGATCTCCAAGAGTATTTCATCAGATCTCAGACTGCGAGAGTAAGCTGCCTTTTTATGTGCTCAAAGAAGAAAAACTGCTGGGAAATTATAAACAATGTCTGCTTTAGTTTTTTTCTACTGGGGATAGAACCAGGGCTCTGATATTGAGCCCCATTTCCAGGCTTTTTTATTTGGAGAGAGGGTCTCGCTCAGTTGGCCCAGGCTGGGCTTAAACTTGGGATCGTCCTGCCTCTGCTTCCCAGAGTGCTGGGACTGGAAGCATGCACTAGCAGGCCTGGCTATTTTTATAACTTTACCTATATTTGCTGAAATAATTTTGTTAGACTTATTTAGACAAACTGTTGTAGGTTTTTTTAAAAAACATGTTATTCTTAATATTACTCATAAAGAGGAAAATACCAGCAAAATAAGTTAGCTGTGGTTTTCCTAAGTCCATTCACACTCAGAACACAGCTTGTCTGGTGTGTTATGCGTACCTATAATCTGAACACGCAGGAAACTGAGGCAGGAGAATTACTGCAAGTTCAAGGCCAGCTTGTGCCACACAGCAAAGCCTTATCTCAAAAGAACAATGCAAAAAAGACTGCACTTTTTTAAAGCATTTTCGACCTTCAGTTATTGATGTCTGTGTTTCCCCCACGCTGCTGTCGTCTCTGCCATCAGGAGCCTTAGTGAGGCGGATCCTTTCTCTCCCATTTCTGGTACTGATGTATAAAGCAAAACACGCACAGGTGACCACAACCCCAGCACAACGGCTGCCTGGCAAATCGTGGCTCAGGACATGCTCCAACTTCCAAGATCTCCAAGGCAGAGTCACATCTGAGACGCAATGAAATATGGGTTCTTACACTTAAGTCATAAAGTCTTCCATGAGTAACTATTCATGTCCCCACTTCCCTAAAAAAGGGGATTGACACTGGGGCTATATACACCCCTGTCACTGTGCTCTAGTTCATTCCTGTACAGTTGGCAGAGCTAGGTGGTTTCATGGTAACGGCAGTTGCAGGCTGTCTGTGAGCTTGTAGAGTCAGGAAGGCCCTACGCGTCACGTCACGGGGCCTAGAACAGGCTAGCAGGAGCCAAGAGTCCTCTTCCTGCAGAGGATGTGAATGAGTCTGGAGGTGACAGGGTGAGCACCCCCGAATGTGGGGGATGGGGGTCACCACACAGCATGGGTTAGCTAGGGAATTGTGGGACATGGTGTAGGGCTTTGGATTACAAATAAAATTCAGCTTAGTGTGTTTTATTTGGGGAAACGTAGTTCACAGCTCTCATGTTCCTGCATGTCTCTCTTTCACTGTTGCAGGTCCTGATGTGTTTAGCTCAAAGAGCCTTGCCCTGCAAGCTCAGAAAAAGATCCTGAGCAAAATAGCCAGCAAAACTGTGGCCAACATGCTGATCGATGACACCAGCAGTGAAATCTTCGATGAGCTGTACAAAGTCACCAAAGAATACACCCACAACAAGAAAGAGGCCCACAAGATCATGAAGGACTTAATCAAGGTGGCCATCAAAATTGGGATCCTCTACCGAAACAACCAGTTCAACCAGGAAGAGGTTGCCATGGTGGAGAAGTTCCGGAAGAAGCTGAACCAGACCGCTATGACCATAGTGAGCTTCTACGAGGTGGAGTACACCTTCGACAGGAACGTGCTCTCCACGCTGCTGCACGAGTGCCAGGACCTGGTGCACGGACTGGTGCGGCGGCACCTCACGCCTCGGACCCACGGGCGCATCAACCACGTCTTCAACCACTTTGCTGATGTGGAGTTCCTCTCCACTCTCTACCGCCTGGACGGAGACTGTAGGCCCAGCCTCAAGAGGATTTGTGAAGGCATCAACAAATTGCTGGATGAGAAGGTACTCTGAATGGCGCCTCCCCCTGAACTTAAGGTCCCATCGTCCAGCCTGATCCAAGTGCAAATCAAGACCACAAGCAGAAACCCTTGTTGTCGATGTCTGTGTTCTGTCCTACTCATCCCTCTGATGTCAATGCTGAGCTGAGCTCAGGGGCATCCACCCCACTCCCATGGAGGTCTGGGCGTGCAATCACCTGCGCCCAAAAACTCCTTCAAAGCAGAGAGGCTGCTTTACTCCTCAAGGTCAACTTAGGGCATCTCAGAGAGAAGGAGCCCCAGATTAGGAGAGTGATCAGCTCCTGGGAGCCTCAGTCCCATCTCTGTCCTCCATCCTGGCCCCACCACACCCACCCGCCTACCACCCAGGGCTGTTGTGAGGATGGAAGGAGGTGATGTGTGTCCCCTGCTTCGAAAGCTCACCTGGGAGCTCTTGATGTCCTCTGCGTGGAGAGGGGTCAACCTAGATCTCGACCATGAGCAGCATGGAAGGAAAGAGTCACAGAATGACCAGGGAAGGCTTGCGATCTCTCTTCAAAGTGAGAGGAAATCAAAGGTGTAAAGTACACTTGCAAACTGAAGCATGTTGTTCAAGAGCTGTGTTTGGGTCTCAGAGTGCAGGCATAAGATGGCATGCAGGGAATCTGTCCATGGGGTGGGAACAGGGTTTCCTGGCCATCCAGCACCCCCACACTACGCACCAACCGGGCCAGCCAGGCCAGACTCCTCCTGCCCAGTGGTCACCCACGTGGCCCGGGAGGCTTCCATCCCAGAACATAGGGACAGTCAGGCAGATGAGTCCCCATTTGTCTTTCTTGGCCTTTCACAGTTGTTCTGTGCTGTCTTCTCTGGTCTGATAATAAAACAAATCTACCCTTCCAACAAGACCTCTTGGAGTTGTGATTCTTAAACATTCTCTGAAATTTTAATCACTGAATTAGATTCAGTGCCAGGAGTAACAGTATTGTAAGACGGAAGAAAATAAAGAGCAAGAGGTCAACACCCGCACAGGCAGGGGAAGGGCCCAGGAGCACACAGTGTGTGGCCGGTCTGTAAGTCCTCATGCGTAAGCCAGCTGCAGGTGCAGGCCGCCACCCCTGCGCAGCCTCAAGTTGCGCTGCAGCCTTGGACATCACTTCAGCATCACTGAGCTGTGTGAGGGTGGTGGGTTCCTCTCCTTATACCCTGGGCCCTAGCAGGAGACCTGGCCTCGCCTTGCCTGCATCTGTGGTCTGCAGTGACCCCAAGGCCGGCTGTCTCAGCCTCACCTATACCCCACTCCTTGCACACACTCCACAGCAGCACACAGGTGGCTGTGGTAGGTGCGACCCCATGCCCACTGAGCCTGGACTGGCCCTTCCCTCGGCCAATCTCCATGTCCCCATCACCCTAACATGTGGTGTAGGGCAGGTCTTTAGCCCAGATGAGTCCACAGGAAGGACAGCCAGCAGGGGCATAGGAGAGTGAAGCTGACCCTTCTCCCTCTGTGGAAGGCATGGCCGAGTCTTCCTCTCGGGTGCGCTCTGGGCCGGATGGTCCTGGCCACTTGGCAGCAGCAGGAGTCGGGGGGAGGTGGCGACTATGAGCAGCAGGCTCTCTCCTGACCCCTGCCCACCAGGTATCAGCCCGGCAGCAGCCAGATGGACACAGGGTCCATCCTTGAGGTCATCCCATGTGTGCTCATGTGACTCAAGACCACTCTGGAGTAATCTTGTTTCTCATTAAATAAATTAGGGAGAACCATTGCCAAGAACCCAGACCTGAGAGAAGCAGGAGGAACTGGGCTCTATCCCTATGAGACTAGTGGGTCAGAAGGCAGGTGCCCAGCCAGGGAAGCGGAAACCTGTCCAGGTGCTGTAGGTCCACTGTCCTAGAGATGGAGGAGCAAGGCTGAGTCGGGCTCTGGTAGTCCCCAGCTCAAAGGGTGCTGGCCAGGGAACAATCAACATTCCCACCAACAACCCTCAGCCAGTGCTGAGCATGGGCTGCCTCAGCCTCCCGTGCTGGGGGAGCCAGTGGGCTGTGAACCAGCTGGGTGTCCCCCAAGTTTGTCATCACTGGGCCGCATAGGCACAAGTCACCCCTACTATTCTAGAAGCACAGGGCCAACACTGATCCATTGTGCACATTTCAAGCACATTACTGGCATCTGGACCCATGACTCCTGGATGTAATCTGGCAACTGAAAAGCCTACAGCTCTCAAATATTTACACAACAATCTCAGCACCAAGAGGGACCAACGACATTCAGACTCCTTTATCTCAAGGACTCTAGCTGCATGCAGCTCTTGGTGGCTCTGAATGGCTATTTTGGTTCAAACAATGAGGCAGAGGCTGACAGACACTTCCAGAAACGCTGGCCCTCTGTAGATGCCCCTCTGGGCTCAGGACTCCATGAAATTTTCCAATGGCAAGAACATCAAAAGCAAAGTTAGAATATCTGCATCAGTTGCCCAATAAAAGGCTATCATTTTGCAAGAATGATGAGAAAGGAAACTAATTTTCTTCTTTGTTTTTCAATGTATTTGGTACAGGGTCTGACTAACCAGCTCGGACTTGTAGTGATCCTCCTGTTTCAGCCTCCCCAGTGCTGGGATTGCAGGGATCATCAGCACACCCGGTCTTGGTGGCCGGCTCAGCACACCCAGGGGCGGAGCCAGCATGGCATGCAGTACCTACCAGGGATTGAACCCAGTCCCTGTGCTTGCCTAAGCAGGTGCTTAGTCCACTGAGTTCTCTCACCAGCCAAGGAAACTAATTTCAGAAGAAGCAACCATGTAAAGTCACTTCCTCAGTCAAGTCTCATATATACTTCAGAGAACAGTGCAATGGCCCAGCCAGTTAAGTATGGGTGTGACTTGTCTCAAAGTAGGGGCGGCAGGGAGCAACTTGTCTCGGTGGTCCAGCTGTGTCACTGGGTCTTCAGCTGTCCCCATGTGTCTGTGTCACTCCCCTTGCTGACCCCTCAGTGACTCCAGAACTCTGCTCTGTGACAAATCAAAATAAGAAGACTTCCCCATCTGTGTTCCTTAAACTCGCTTCTTCCCATCTGTGTCTTTTTTTTCAGGAGCAAATCAGCGCATTCGTCAGCTGCTCTGATGAACTTCAGTGCATTTAGATTTAACAAGAAAGGAGCTAAAATCAGAGCTCCATACTGTCTACCCCCAGTGTCTTTGGGGATTTTAAAAAGTTCAATATGACCTCAGAGGTCAAGACCACAAGCAATCAGTGAAAATTCTAGACCAGCCGGCTCTGGCTATAAAGGTATTGGCTAAGCAGGAGTTGTCCACCAACGTCCCAGGATGTCAATGGCCTTGGAGAAAAGGGTCACGGAGGCTGTCCCATCCCAGCACAGTGATCAGTGGCTCCCTTTGTGCAACCTGACATGCTACAAGAGCCCCAGCCCCAGCCAGGCCTTGCCTCGGCCTCTTCTTGTTCTTTCTCGTGACAGCATCTACAGATCCCTGCAGTTCTGGGGCTGGGGATGAATGAAGACCTTTTGTGCTACAGGAGTTTTAATTTCTGTTTCATTTGGACAACTTTTTAAAAGTTAAAGCCAACATAAGTGCGTTCTGAATCATGCAGGAGTGACCTTACAGCCAGGTTGTGCCATCCATTCTCAGATCTGGGTTTGTCTTCGCATTTATGTCACTGGCGCTAACTGAGCACCTCACATGACAGAACGGGATGTAACTTAATGTGACCCAGGCTAGGCCTGCCAGGTCTGCTGGCGTGGCGTGAGGTCCATGGGTCCTCTGCCTGGGAAGCATGGCTGCAGCATGTGAAGCATGGGTGTCCCCTGGCCCTCAATAGCTACCCACCTGCTGGGCCAGCACCTAGGGAACAGAGCAGTCTCTCCTGTATGTGCCCATGGGCTTGCATCTTCCATCACCTCCTGGAAGAAAACTGACCAACAAAAACTACCAGCTACCAATCAAATCAAAATTGACTGACCTGTCTTGGAGGCCCTCATAGGAAAAGACTGTCCCACCCCTGGACACAGCAGGGACCATGCTCCCATGGAAGGGAAGAAAAGAGAAGCCAGCCAAGAAAAGAATCAGCTGCACCTGCCATCCTCGCCCCAGGACAGCTTCCTCTGCTGCAGGGCCCAGGCCTCCAGAGAGTGCGTGTGGGTCCCAACCCCGGAAGCTTGTCCCTGGAGAGAGAGGCATATGGCGCTCAGATGTGGTGGCATGTGACTCCTTCCCATCCCAGGAAGGGGAAGCTCAGCACAGAAGCTCAGCATGGCGCACCTTGCCTTGCCTTTCCTAACGCCCTTCAGGGCCAGGTAAGGCAGGACGTGCAGAAGAGGTTCCTACAGCCCACCCAGGAGCTCCGTGTAACTGACTGCTGAGGCCTTCTGGGCCAGTGCCAAGGACAGGGAGACTGGGGTTTGGCCCTCAGCTCAAGGGGAGCTGGGGCGGAGCCAGAGTCAGCACAGTGTGGAGGCCCGGCAGCAGCAGCAGCAGTAGCAGTTAGGTTGTGCTGGGGCAGGAGCGCCTTCTTGGGCTCTGTGTCATCAGGAAGGAAGAGCACAGCCAGCCTCAGGCAGCGACCCAGCTCCTTCCACTCAGGACAGCAGGCCCTGAGCGCTGCGGGACAGTAGCCCCGGGCACTGCAGCACTGAGGGATTTTAGAAGAGAATCCAATTCATTATCCAGGAAGGCTGTTATTTCCAAATAGGCTGACAAAGGGCTTTTCAGTGGTCTTCTTAAGAAATTTTGAATATAGATCTAAGTTCATTGATTTCAAAGTGGAAAAGTGATAAGTCAGAAAATGCAAAGTGAAATCAAAACACCAGAGAACCACCCGGCCCGCAGGGTACCCAGGGTCTGCATTAGTCTGACCCTCTACTGAGACACACTTCACACTGAGATTGGCTACTCCAGGAATCCACCTCTGCACAGAGCAGATACTCATAAGCAAAGTCATTCATACGTCATGACTGATATGAGTCAAATATTTAGGATGCTGTCAGAACCATTTAAAAATATATTTAGAGAGAACCGGGCCAGGGAGATAGCTCAGCAGCATAAGCACTTTCCCGGCAAGCACAATGTCCTGAGTTCAGACCATGGTACAAGAAAAGAGAGAGAGAGA